AATGCTTACCCATGGCAGTTTGTAGAATCTCTACAGGCACCTCACCAGGTAAAAAGGAGCCAACCATCTTTTGTGTCAATTCTTGAATTATTAGTTTAAAAAGAATGTTTGATGTTTTCTTCTGGGTTGCAGCTATGAGCAAAGCCTTGCTTAAGGCAGAATCACTGATGAAAACATTAACATCCTTAACCAACCGCCTCTGTATCAAATGAAAATGCATCATATGAATTTTAAAACATAAGATATGTTGGTAAAATTTACATTTAAAAGGCTGTCATTAAAAGAAAATACCTTTCCATATGCTGCTTCTTGATAACTTCCACCGTCCATGAAGTTTGTAGAGCCCTGCATCTCATCGACCTCCTCTGCCTCATTGTTATGGAACCATTCCAGAATTGAGCGCATAGTTCCTATAAATTCCTTGGGCACTGATAGTAGAATAGAAAATAAAGCAATAATTATTTGTGGGGATAGGCCTCTAACAAATTAGTGTCTAATGAATTTTAAGGTATTTTAACAAAATTTGATTTAAATTTCATTGTGAATGATTAACTACATACCTGGGGGAAAACTCTGCCTTTTCAAGCAAAATGAGCACCGCTCTGTCTCTCTACTTGAGCTAGCTTCCGTCACTTTCACAGGCTCAAAAGGCTCCACTTCACTGGGCACCTCAACTGGTGCACTCACCCTGCTCTCCACTGCAATGGAATTCCTTGGGGTTGGTTGCTTTGATACTGCCTCCTGGTTTTCTGAAACTTTTCAATAAATGTTACACAGAGATATTTGTACTAGATTTGAATATTCCCTGCCTAAGTTTAAAAGTTGGTCCTCTCTTAGCATTTTTTTTCTGCAAAAAAACTCTTAAGACTCTTAAGAGGCTAAAATTTTGAAACTTGTCAAATTTAGTGGTGTAAATATAAAAACAATAATGAGAGGCTGAAATGTGACATATGGTAGCCATGGAATCTTTTCTTGATAGCACAATTCAAGTGGCAAATGATATCTAAAATTTTGGTAACGCAAAATCTGTCAATGAGTATGTATATTAATGAATCTTTTTGGTAGGTACAGTCTGAATTTGCTAATACTCACAACATTACATACTAAAGTTTAACCACCAATAAGAAGTATTTTGGAATAATACCTTCCCCTTGTCAGAAATATGCTTGTTTCAACAATTTCAGGTTTGATAAAATTGTCCCCCCCAAAAAAGAGGACTAATGGGCATCAAACTTGCAGCATGCATAGCATTTAAAAAGCCCAATACACTTTATAATTCTCAAAAGTACTGAATGGAAAACAAAATTACTAAGGACCACTTTTATATCACATGCAGCGCATCACACCATGTAAGTAGAGGATCCGTGATTGCACCAACCTTTGGAAGGCTTTGCTGCTCTGCTGCTCTTCGGTCGGTCAGAGTGGCTCTTACTAGATTTGAATTTGCTCTTGACAATGGAAGTATGCGACTCTGGTCCATTATCAGCCTGCAGCATTGCTTGATCCCATGCACCTACTGCTGCTGATGTGGAATGACCTGGGGAAAGAAAAAACTTTAGGTGCTGCGGCAACGTCTTGCCCTGATTTTACAAATGATCTTGGGAGAAAAAGGCCAAATTTTCTCGGGGGACACCTGATCTTTCAAATTTAATTTTTTCTTTACATACTGATATTGTTTTCCACGAATAAATCAAAAACATTCTCAAGAGTCTTCCGCGAACACAATTTGGCCATTTTCCAAGTCTAGGTAAGCAGCGGTAGCTATGCATTCGAATAGTACACAAAGACAAGTCACATATTTTCTGTCGCTCCCTACCTGAACTTTTATGATTGCCATTCAACACTGATTCCACTCCAGATTTGTCAATATAGCTTAACAGTTCTTGAGTTTTCAAATCAGAACTTTGTCTGAGAATTACATTCTCTTTCCTTTTCCTCCGAGTTAGGTCCAGCTTCTTGGCCTTGATCGCATTTGGTGGCAAGGGCTTCTTGGGAGGGAGAACTGTTCCGTCCTCCAGAACTGTAAATCCTTCAAGATAGTTCTTGTCCCCTGAAAAGAATGGTTTACATTTAACAAGGAGTGTAACGACCATCCACACTTCAGTACAATGCAGGTCGGGGCTCAGAGGCAATGAGGCACTCCTCGACCCGTAACGTTGAAATTATAAAGACTATTCGAACAAGAATACTTACTGCTAAGTCGAAGAATTTGACAGTGATGGACAGATTTGTCCTTAGGCCACACCACCCATCCTTCTTGCCCTTCTAGCACCTCAACATTCTCCCCCTTCTTGGCCTTGCTTTTGAGTTTACCCATGGATTCCTTGGACCATACGGTAAAGGCCTTGCTAGACGTCCAATACACCAAAACATATTGTGGTGTTGTAGTACTCATGGTGCTTGTTACACAGGATACTTAAAAAAACGAGAAAGTTGATAAAAGTGCAGCAAAACTCAGAGAAAAATCAGGCAAAACAAACGTGGTGGCGGCGGACAGACGAGCGGGGAGCGGGATGAGAGCGGGAGAGACAACTTCCATGGCGTCCCTGTAGGGGAGCCACCGTCGCCAAAATCGACAAAGCAAGGGCGACATAATTACTGCATGTTTATGCCTTTATTATTAATATAGTCAACTTTATAAAATTATTTAATAATAATAAAATTAATGTGTTGGATATTCTTGCAAGTCCGCGACAAATATCTAGTTTTTAGTTTTACAGCATCTATTCGAGAGTTCGATTGGGGCGAGAGCAACACGACAGCTGACAATCGGCTTGTTGCGTCAGTCGTGAGGAGACGAGTTTCGGGAATGATGTAAACAGCACATCGAATTTCTGCTAAAAAGGTGTTTACTTGTTGGTTTTTTGCCGATTACAAAAGTTGACTGGTATCGCGACTTTGAGGCGGGTGATCGACCTTTATTGTCAAGCTCAAAATTTCGTTTTATCACCGCCATTCGCCCGTATGATTCGTTCCCATACCAGACGTCGCACAAGAAAGGGTTAAGTCGTTTCTGTCTGTTGTCTACAAATATTGCTGGACGTGATTTCCTTCGCTTAAATCAGTTTGTGTGATTAACAGGACCTACAACCTCGCTGGTCTGCGTCCTTCTCCAAGATGGGGAAACGGAAGATCAATTCGCAGAATTGTTCACGCCGGACGAAGCGCAGGCGTGTCAACGCTATACCAGTCGCTGAACAACAAATGGCCGCTCATTTGGCTAGTCTTGAGGATGACAACGATTCGGACTACCAGTGGGTCCCGTGCGCTGCTGCACCCAATGTCAGGTAAAGTTTGTGGTTGTGTCACAAGCAATTTATATGCTGTGTCAAACTCTGCTCCCTATATTAACAGTTACCTTCTGTGTTCAGGCTTAACTGTGATGACCCAGTGGATGGTCGTGGTGCAGCAGGGGCCTCATCTGATGAAAATGATTCAAATCCAAGTGACAGCCCGGAGTGTTAGTTTTAAATAGCTTTTTAATACAGAACCTTTTAACGCGCTGTCATCAAACTTATGTTGTAACCTTTTTTTCTTCTTCTGTTTAGCTGATAGTGATGGCAGCGAAGATGACCCTTCATCTCTTTCGGGATCTGATTATGACAGTGATGCTACTAGTGATTCGTCACCAGATGAATCCCCTGATGACTCATCGTCAAGCAGTGAAAGTGAGGATGACAATGATCCCGAGGAAGATCCACCATATGATAATGACCCAGACGAAGATCCACCACTTTATCAGGATGCTCCCATATCTGTTGGAGAAAGTGTCTTGTCCGTCTTGTCTCTTGCATTGGCTCACAACTTGTCTGGTGCATGTGTGGCGGATATTCTAAAACTGATTGAAATTCACTGTCCAGAGCCCAATCGTTGTGTTAATAGTCTGTACAAGTACAAAAAATATTTCTCTGCCTTGAATTCTCCATTGGTTCGTAGGTATTACTGTTCTTTTTGTGAAAATATTTTGGGTGGTCAAGATGAAGTGTGTGGACTGTGCCAACGACGTAGAGGTGTAAGCTTCTTCATTGAAATGCCAGTCATACCACAGGTTAAAGCTTTGTTCAAACGCCCTGGGTTTTATGAATTAATTAGGGATAGAATGAGGGATAGGAGGAGACGGGTTGATGGCAACTATGAGGACATTTATGACGGGATGGTGTACCAGCAGTACCAAAATGATGTTAATATACAGCCACACAATAGTTTGTCTTTGATGTGGTACACTGATGGTGTCAGAATTTTTAAGTCTAGTAAGGGGCAACTGTGGCCTTTCATGTTAACTGTCAATGAGCTGCCCTACTCCCACAGAACCAGGATTGAAAACACTATCATTGCTGGTTTGTGGTTTGGGGAAAATAAACCGAACCCCATATCTTTCCTTAGGTTTATTCGGGAAGATCTGATTCAGCTTCGAAGGGGAGTCAATGTTAATTTGCCTGATGGGAATGATCTTCATATTAGAGCCAGTGTTATTAGTGGTACATGTGATTTACCTGCCAAGGGACTTTTTCTAAACATGTGTCAATATAATGGCTTGCATGGTTGCCAGGTCTGTAAATTTCGGACTACAAGACTGCATCCAGCTCATATTAGGAATCCTAAAAGAATTTATCCGTATCCAAACCGAGCACTACAATTGCGAACTGATGCAGAGCAGCTGGTCTTTGCACGAAATGCTTTTCAGGTAAGGAGACCTGTAATGGGAGTGAAGGGGCCCTCAGCCTTAGCACCAATTGTCCAGAGGCCTGTGGAAACCACAGCAATTGATGTCATGCACCAAACATTTTTAGGCCTTACTAAATTTCTTGTCAAAGTGTGGTTTGATCCTGAATGGACTGATAACCCAGCCTCTATTTATGCATTGGCTCGTGTTGTCGATGACAGGCTGCGAGCAGCTTGTCCACCTGGGTTTGTAGAGAGGCATGTTCGTTCTATTTCAGACCATTATAAATATTGGAAGGCTCAAGAACTGAAACTGTGGCTTTTAGTTTATTCATTACCATTTACACAGGATCTTCATCATCCTAGATTTTCAAACCATCACAAGCTTTTGGTGTTTGGCATAAGTATTTTGAGTATGGATAGTGTATCACCTCAAATGGTAGAAATAGCAAGTGAAGCTTTTCATGAGTATGTTAGACAGTTTAGTGATCTCTATGGCAGAGACTGGATGTCACCCAACTTGCATTTACTTCTTCATCTACCTAAAAATGTGGAGAAGTTTGGACCATTGTGGACCACTACTTGTTTCCCATATGAGAGTTTAAATGGAGTGTTAAAAAAGTTTGTAACGGGCACAAGGTATGCTGATCTTCAGGTGTATACTGCCGCTTCAATGTTTCTTAATCTATGTGCCTTTAGAACAGAAAAGCTTGTTCCGGGGAGGAAGCCTCATGCTTTTTGTGAGAGACTTGCACATTATCAAAAGAGATATGCTCTGACAAACATATCTGACAGATTTGCAGTTGTAGGGAAACAAACGGAAACTAATAATTTACCAGAACAGGTAGTACATGCACTCATTGGCATGGATGTTGAGAACGCTAGATTTCTTCAGTTTTATCGCATGTTTGACAAAAAAACAAATATTTTATTTACATCATCATGTTATGTTAGGGGGGTGACAAGAAACTCTTCATGCACTAAGTTTATTCATCAAGGCAGAGAAATGTTTGGAATTGTGCATTCATATTTACATGTTGTTCAATGTGACTGTGACAGGCAATGCGGTAATTGTATAAATACTTTTTATGCAGTGATAAGGCAGTGTAGTGTTGCTGCGGCTTTTCGTGTGCCAGCTCTAGCAAATGCTGTTCTGCCACTGATCCATCAACTAGTGAACAATATGGATCAGTACCATGCTGTGGAAGTCCACAGTTTAATATCAGTTTGCCACCTTTTGAATGTTGGAGACTTACATAGATCATACATAATAGAACCAGTCAATACCATGGAGGCTGAGTAGGATTGTCTTTGCGTTTTCTTGGTTTACTTTTTCTTTGCCGGAAAACTTGGTATCTGAATACATAAGTCTGTGTTAGAAAATTAGTTTTAATAATTTAATTTTCATTGTTAAGAGATGTGTTATTACACTTGAAAAAAAGTCTTGCTTTGTGATTGAAATCCGTACTAATGTATCTTTAAACTGTGCACTAAAAGTGCACTAATTTAGTTATAATAACTTACTTTTTATTGTTAAGAGATGTGTTATTACACATTAAAAAAAAATGCTTAGTGATTGAAATCCGTACTATTGTATGTTTAAATTGCGCACTAAAAGTGGATTACGTACTTTACAAACTGTACTATTGAACAGAATTAACATCTTAAGTTTATTAATGCCTGGCTCAGCCAGTAGTGATTGAAACCCGTTAAATGGTATATTTACATTGTTAACTAAAAACGTACTTGACAAACTGTAGTCTTGAACCCAATCCCTATCTTTAGCTAATTAATGCCTGGCCTAGCCAGTTTGTCTTATTTTCTTAATTGTTCCATATTGTATCTCAAGTACTTCCCGGTAACTCACTTGTTGGCTGAGCGATTAGCAAAGCCTATTATTCCAGTGATGATCAAAAAGGTTCGCGTCTGTCTGTGTGTGTGTCTGTCTGAACGCACGATAACTCGAGAACGAATTCAGCTAGTAATTTTAAAAGTATTCTTTTGATGTTACCAAGAACATTGTGTTTGCGCTAATTCTCCTTGGAATACACAGATGTTTCTTATTGAACTGTAATTTGTTTTCATTAAGCTTCTATAAATGAATTTTTTTTATATGATTGAAATGCATATTGATTTTG